CTTCTTCTTCTTCTTCTTCTTCTTCTTCTTCTTCTTCTTCTTCTTCTCCTTCTCCTTCTCCTTCTCCTTCTCCTTCTCCTTCTCCTTCTCCTTCTCCTTCTCCTTCTCTACACAGTTTAGCCCTTCTAGGTGATAGAAGCTTCTCTTCCAAACTAGAATGGGCTGGATTTCAGGATTAACTTCTGGAAAGCTGCATGGTCCTAAAATGTTCGGTTGGAGGGGAGAAGAAGAGAAGTGGGATTATTCTGAAGGAAAGAAGTTTTCTAGAAGTAACCTAGAAGTTTTCTAGGAAGTAACCTATACTTGCGATACACACTTCTCCCCCCCCCCCACCAAATATTCATATTGGACATGGAATTGGAGTCTTGCAACCTCTTAACTAATGTTCTAAATAGAATATGCAGAACTCCAATCAAATATTTCTGATCTTGCTCGCTGAAAACACATAGGATGCCTTTGTCTGGATTAGAATTGGGAATTGGGTGTGTCCAGTTTAATGAAAAGAAGGACTAGGGGTGATAGGATAGCAGTGTTCCAATATTTGAGGGGCTGTCCCAAAGAAGAGGGAGTCAAGCTATTCTCCAAAGCACCAGAAGGCAGGACGAGAAATAATGGATAGAAACTCATCAAGGAGAGAAGCAACCTGAAATTAAGGTTGCTGAAATTCTGACAGTGAGGACAATCAACCGGTGGAACAACTTGCCTTCTAGAAGTTGTGGGTGTTCCAACACTAGACATTTTTAAAGAAGAGATTGGACAGCCATTTGTCTGGAATGATATAGGTTCTCCTGCTTGAGCAGGTGGTTGGACTAGAAGAAGTCCAAGGTCTCTTCCAATCCTGTTATTCTGTTAAATCAAGTGGATGGATAGACCTACGCCAAAGAATCTGAGGAACCGAAAATGGATCTTCTCATTGCTGAACACCTTTAGGGATTTAGGCAGTGATGTCTACCACATCAATACTAAGATGCCTTGCTTCTCAAGGGCATCGCTCCTTTATTTGAGGACATGGAAAGACTGAGAAGAATCACCTTAGTTTTATGCACTCGTGGAAATACTCTACCATTTGGAGCTAACTTATGTAGAACTTCTGTACCGTTTCTTCTTACGAACAGGAAGAACGTCGCGTCATCTATGTTGGTAGACTTGGATCTGGTACTACTCGAACAGAACTGAGAGACCGGTTTGAAGTTTTCGGTGAAATTGAGGAGTGTACACTGAATCTACAAGATGATGGGTAAAATTACTCTTCCTTTCCCCTTTGACTCCCTTCACTCAGAAGAGGGGAAAAAATATACACTAAACTCAGAGATCTGTAGCGATTCTCAGTCCTCCAGGTCATGGTTGTCGCAAAGATGCCTTTTTTTCGGGAGGCAACTGGACTTTCTGGTTTCTTTTTTGAAGATGTTTCGCTCAGTGGTGGGATTCAAATTGTTTTACCATCGGTTTGGTGGGTGTGGCTTGGTGGGCATGGCTTGTTGGGCATGCTTTGCCTAACACCGGCATGCAGCTTTTCCCACACCAGCTGAGACCTGCAGTGCCAATCAGCTGTGAGGATAAAGAAGAGAAAAGTACAGAGGTGGGTAAGAGGGCTGATCCTGAGCTTTTCTCTTCGTTTTCCTCTCAGATGATTGTCGGAGGATTTTTTTTCCTCGTCTCAGTTGATCGTTGGCTTTTTTTACAACCGGTTTGGCCGAACTGGTAATACCATCATTGGTTTCACTTCTCATCCAAGAAGCTTCTTCAACTCTGACAGGATAATGGGGAACCCAGAGATTTGAAAAATGGCCATAAAAATGCAATAATGTTCAAACTATGGTTTTCTCTTCTCTTTCCTCTTCAACCCATGTTTATGAAGTTATCTATAGATGAGATGAGATGAGATGTTCCCTCAATAAATATGTCAGGGTTACTGTGAGGGTTTGAAATTTATTTATTATTTATTCGGTCAATGACCAGAAACATAAAGTAATAAAAAGAGAGATAAATGACAGCAATTACAATCAGGAAGTGAGTACAATTATATATTGGCAACTGTAAAATAAATCAAATATGGTATATTCTAAACCCCTCTATTACAATAATGCCATCTTCATTTATCTAACACTAACAAATCTGTTATTCCGTATTCGATAAATCTAATATAATAAAACCATACATTAAAATATTAAATTTTAATATAATAAAACCATACATTTAAATATTAAATCCAATTCCCTTTTCAAAAAGCACCTTTGGGACTGTATGATCTATTGTTTCATTTTCCTCTTTGAAAAATTTGCACTTTGATGATTTTTCAATTCTGGCCGTGTTAATTTGAATAGCTTGCTCTTGGGCAGCCAAAATCAAGCCTTCAGTTTCTTTTTTAAATATTCTAGTTGTAAGGCATTGCCAGCTATTCATCTTTTATCCACTTTGCTCTCAATCTTGGATAAATGGTTACCACATAATGTTTTGCCTTGCCAGCATTCTGTTCATGTTTTTATTACATCATTTCGATGTTCAGTTTTGTTCGACTTGAAGTAAACCTCTCCCTTTATTTCTGTGGGGGAGGTATACCCTTAATCAATATCTCTACAAGGTTGTAACGCATTAATGTTCTTATTCTTTTCAGAGATAGCTATGGATTCATCACTTACCGCTATACTTGTGATGCATTCGCTGCACTAGAAAATGGAAATACTCTACGCAGAGCCAATGAACCTGCCTTCCAGCTGTATTTTTGTGGACAGAGGCAATCCTGCAAGGCTAACTATGCAGATTTTGGTATGATGTTTACTATTAGCTGAATGTAGTAAGACTTAGTTTCAGTCTGCCAGAGGGCATTCTGTGTCAGTATTCCAATGTTCGCCCTAATTAAATCATGAGCCTTGAGCCAAACTTCAAAAAACTTCAAAGAATTCATTAGGAGTGACATACTGGCATGATCTGTATGAAGCCGATTCTGGCGAATGTAATTATAGTCACCTGTGACCCTGTTTCCCCCCTCACCCCTGGGTGTGCCATAAATCAGTTTATCCAATTAAGCACGTACACTGGCTAGGTGTCCTCCATCACGTTCTCCAATTAAAGTTTTTTGCCGGCAAAAGCTTCAGTCGCTTAGCTACAATCTTTTTAAAGATAAAGTTGGAATGTGCTTCTAAGTTCATTTGCCGTATGCTTCTCCAGTTGACATTCTGATTTTTGAGATTGCTCTGCTCCTAACCCCCTAAGATAACATATTTTAAAAATACACATGGTTCAGGAATTATTAGCCTCTTTTAATGATTTAATTTGCTTCTGGAGAAATGGTCAAAATTAAGATCTTGGTCTGCAGAATGCCATACTTCTGTATGTTCTCTTCTGCCTGTTTTGCACGCTCCGGGCAGTGGTGGGATTCAGCCGGTTCGCACCGGTTTGGTGAACTGGTTGTTGAAAGAAATCATTAGGGCAGAGAACCAGTTGTAAATTATTTGAATCCCGCCACTGGCTCCGGGAGTGAATACACGAGTTTTCCCTAAGCCTCTGACATTTTCTCACAGTTGCAATGATAACAGCAATATGCATTTGTTTAAAGTGAATATGCGATCGCTCACTGGCTAAAATAGATAGCTGTAAAGTTGCAGAAAGCAAGGAGATAGAAGCCGAGTGAAAATCTCAACATTAACAAATCATTTGCTGCAACGTTGGCTGATAAAAACCAGCAAAGACGGATTGAAGTCCTGACTTGATTTGACTTATCTTCTTCGTTGATGAAAGCAGGGGTGTTGCTAGTATCTCAAAACATCTAGGATATAAAATAAGTGGCCTGACAGCGGCTTGAGTATTATTCATTACTGAGAGTAGGCTCTTCTTAGCTCTCCAAGCCTCTTCACTGTGTTTTCTTCACTGTTTTACTAGGAAAATGTCTACGGATGTCAGGGGAAATTGTCAGAATCCTGACTTTCAAGTGGCAGGGAATAAATAAATTAAACAGGGAAGAGGAGGGAGGCCCAGCTTATGGAGAAAAAAACATCAGGACCGGGGTGGGATTCTACAGGTTCGCACCTATTCGCTAGAACTGATTGTTAACATTCGAATCAGTTCGGATAACCAGTTATTAGAAGAAATTACTGGCCTAATTCTGTAAGGAAGACAGGAAGGAAACATTCTGGTGTTGCTTACAGAAACTGCCTCTCCATTAACTCTTATTAGATTCTTTGCAGGACTAGACTTCCTGTCTCAGGAACTTCTCTGGAGTTTTTTTTTTCCTCATTTGCTGGAACTTTGCTTGTGTGGAGTGACCATTCAAAGTTACAATGGCACCGAAAAAAGTGACTTTTGACCGTTTTTCACACTTATGGCTTTTGCAGCATCCCCACAGTCATGAGAGGCCAGGCGAGGAGATGCGTGCCTCAATGTGAGTGATATTGAGTTGGCCACGCCCAGCCAGTCACATGACCAAGAACCCATGCCTACCAACTAAGCCACACCCACAGAACTGGTTGTTAAAAAATTTGAATCCCATCCCTGATCAGGACATATTGTAGATCAAGGGCTCCCAAGCTCTCTTTTGGGCTGCAACGGCCTCCTGCAACCAGAGGTGGTATTCAGCTGGTTTGGAACGGTTCTGGCATACTGGTAGCAAAAATTTTGAGTAGTTTGGAGAACTGGGAAATACCACCTCTGGCTGGTCCTGCCCACCTGCCCCAGGTCTTACTGCTCCTATATTCCCTTGCTTTTTAGCTCAGCTGATTTGTGTAGCAGAGCACATTGCCGCACCTCAGCTGAGCTAAAAAAGCTGAGCACCGCTCACCAGCATTGATACAGAAGGCAAACTCTGAGGCCTGTGCATGCATGCGCAAAGCACGCTCTCCCAACTGGTAGGAAACAATTTGGAAACCCATCCTATCTAAGCACCCAGCAGTCCGGATCTGGCTCGCAGGCCTTGAGTTTGACATGCCTGTTCTAGATCAACCCCAAATAGCTAATCACTAAAAGCAATGAACTTTGTGGACTAATTAAATTATATTTTGTTCTGGATAACATTTTTAGAGAAACAATGTGTTTACTAGGACTGTCTGGGATGACATTGGAACGTTACCCTTCTCTATTGGGAATTCATCAAAGAGCTTATATAAAAATATAATAACCCATAAGAATGACTTGCAAAAAGAGAATTTTTCAATACAATACAGAGTACAATACAATATAGCCGCAATAAGAGTATCAAAGAACTTTCAGAAGAATTGCTGCCAGTGAAGCCTGTAAAATTAAAATTAGGTTCTACACTAATTTTGCCTACTGATACAACAATGTCTTTCTACTATCATTCTCAATACATGTCATTCATGTGGATCATGTAACTATAGAGGTAGTCTTCGACTTACAACAGTCCATTTAGTGACTCTGTCAACTCATCAAATATTTTTATAGTCTTTTAGAGTAGTCAACAGAAAGTGGGGGGAGCAGTGTGGCAGCTTGCAAACCAAAAGTGCATTCCATAAATGTTTTCAAAGATAGTAACTAGGTGACTGAAGTTTCTTCCATGCAAAATTCTAATTGGAGAGCATGATTGATGACTCTGGGCTATGGACGTGTCCCATGGAGGATATGAATTACGATACACCTGGGTGGGGGGAGAAACCAGGGTCAAGGGTGACAAGGAATGATGTGTCTCAGAGTCGGCTATACCCAAGCAGTGCCGGACATGTTAATTCCCAATAAATCCTTTGGAAGTTTTGGAAGTTTGGCTTGAGACTTATGATTTAAATGAGGTTAAGTGCTGGAATCCTGACAGACTCTTTGAATTTACAACGGCACTGAAAAAGGTGATTTGGGGTAATTTTTCACACTTATGACCGTTGCAGCATCCCCATGGTCACGTGATCAAAATTCAGGCCCTGGGAAACTGACTCGTACTTATGATGGTTGCAATTTTATAACAGTCTGTGAGAAAAAAAAATGTACTGGAAACGCATTGTGTTATGCAGGGAGTCCTTGGCTTCTGACCACAATGTGCCCAAAATTTCCATTATGAAGTGAGACATTGGTTTTGCCCCATTTTACGACTTTTCTTGCCACCTTTGTGAAGTCAATCTTTGCAGTTGATAAATTAGTAACCTGTTTGATAAGTGAACCTGGTTTTCCCATCAGGTCGGTCGCAGAAGGGGATGATGTGACACACACACACACACACACACAACCCAGAAACATTGCAATCATCCTAAAAATGAACCTGATGCCAAGCATCTGAATTTGGGTCATGTGACCATGGGGATATTGTAACAGTTGTAAGTGTGATAAATGGTCATAAGTCACAGCGACTGAGAGAGGAACGAGGCAGACACCTGAGGGATGAGGCTGAGGGAGGCAGGGCTGAGAGGTGGGGCTTCTCAGCCATCCTGCAGGGGCTTGTCCTGAGCCTCCCTGAACTTGGTGGTTTGCTGGCAGACGTTTTATTACCCGACTAGGTAACAACATCAGATGTTATCTAATCAGGTAATGAACCATCTGCAAGCAAACCACCAAACTCGGACTCCTCCCCCCCCCCCCCC